GGTTTATGCCCACGGAAGTCGCACACCTAATGACTCCAGTTCCTCCGAGAAAAGCCAGTTAGGTTCTCATTAGTTTCGTTAATGTCAGCCTGCTTTTTGTCAAACTCCGTCTTAGTCCAAATCGGTATGTCGGTCTACTATTAAAATAGGTCTAGCGTAAAAACAGTTCTTTTACCGCAGTCCCAATCGTTCAGATGAATCTATTAAAAACTTTCTTGGGGTGTGACCAGTTCAGGCCGTGCTGGGTTTTTCTACTGCTTCCATTCAAGAGGCTGTAAAATGTCCGTAGTCGCAGCCCAGCAATATTTTTTCTTTGGTATGCTGGCCTACATAAACTTATACCCATCCGTACGCTGTCATAGTGTAGTGCCATTGGTCTGCGGCATTGGCATAGTACCCTCGAGGTAAGTACTCCTTTTGCCAATACTGCATACGGTGAGACGAATTAATTACCTCCTGGGTTTGTCTAACTGCGTCCACCCCTTTCTGCGCGGTTTGCTCACTTGCGGTCTGCAAACGAAATAACTAAGGATATTTATTCATCCGGATTGTATACGGCCGCTTTCAAAACCCTCGGGACTGCGCAATCACTTCACTTACACTTCTTCTTCAATTGTATTACCGATTATCGTGCCCATTTCTTCGTTTTGTTCTGTGCTCTTGTATCGATCACCATAATTTTCTTTGAACATTTTCCAGAGCGACTTTAGCAATGCGTTCCCGTTTCCTATTGGTTGCCAGCTTTCCTGTTGGATTTGTTCCTCGTACTGTATACTTTAACGGTTTCCACAAACTGTTCTAAGTAGCCTTTTAAATTCGATGTTACGCATACAAATTTCACCTGTTTTAAAGTACCTTCGCTTATTCGAATATGACTTCCTTGCCTTCCTACATTTTCGCCTTTCCATTGGCCTACCCTAAGGCCCCACCCGCAAAACCCCTCTTACCACCATTCCCTCATTGCAGGCGCCTAGGGTTTGCCTATCGCCAGTGGAGTTGCAGTACCAAACCCGACCATCCTTTGTCCTTCATTACGCGACCGGTCTTTATTTCGACCTACAGCCGTTTAGTGCTAACATGCGTGCACTCGTGCCGAGCTTTCTGGCTTGTCAGTCAATCTCGTTCAATCGGCCAGCCGCAGAGCTGGTATGGACAGCAGCCGTGGCATGCTTCGGGAGCTCAGAGGCACGACGGTTCGACCATCGTTGTCGACGATGTCCACCGTGTGCTCCACAACAAGATGATGCAGGCACGGTGAGTTAAGCAGGCCTTAATTTACAGTGAATGTGGCCTTGCGGAGCATGTACCACACCCTCTCCTCCTCCACCTGGACCCGGTTTCAAGACAGAGTCAAGAAGATTGGAGACGAAGGAAGGCGCCGGTGGATGGCACGGTCGGTCCCGCACCTTGACGTCCCACTCCACACCCTCTGGTTCACACAGTAAATGATCAGGATTTTAGCCAACAACAAAAGGGTGACTGGCGCGGCCGGGGCCGCACCTAGGCGTGCTGTCCTGCCTGGCACGGATCTCACCGAATAAGAGTGCCATAAAGGTCACAGGTCGCTGCAGCCTGACTCCCAGACCACCAGTCCGCTACTCCACACGTGCACACACACAACTGGGAAGACTGCGTGGACTGAGTTGGGGCGTCAGTCAGCAGCCTTCCAAGCCCCAGCGCTTGACATGCCGTGATAATCTCAGATTCGAGTCACACATACAGCAACGAAGCAGCGTGGAGACGAAACCCCCGCTTGCATGGGAGCTCAGAGGTACGCAGGCCCGCGGACGGACACGTGCAGACCCAGCCCAGCGCGCTCTTTGCTTGGACTGGGCATGCTGTGGCCTGCTGCGCTGATGCTGACAAAGACGACGTGGCGGGGTGTGAGGGCGATGGAACAGAATTAACTCCGCGCGAATGGACACGAGGTGGGCGTGCGATTATATTTTCAGCGGACAGGCTGCTTGTAAAGCCGTTGTTCTTCTAAGACAATTTTGGCGAAATAAGCAGATTTTCGGGTGAAGCCATGATCACTCTGTGCGGACGATGCAAGTTCATCAGTTTGCTCAGTTGTTTGGCGCGGTATCCTTTTACGGCTGAATACATTTCTGCCAGCGGCACTGCATCGACCGATCAAAAGCCTGGGTTGCATCTGCAGACGCGAATTTCGCGTGGGTTACTAAATATGTCCAATAACTGCGGCAGGGTGATAGACACTAAATTCTTGTTGTCATCTTCTAAAGAAAGTACGAGAAGACTTTTGACAGGAAAAAGTTTAACAGAAATCTCCCGAGGCACCAAAAGAGAAAATGTAGATTTTTGGAAAAGTAGCAATTAAAGTATTCGAAAAAAGGGAGTAAGACGAAGCTAGAAGTCAATAAGGTCAATCGAAGGGCACGCCAATAAAGAACCAGAAATCTTATCTGCTGCTTCAGTAGCACTTATGAAAGCACCCTGGACAGTACCCAAGTAGTCAAGCCTGTAACCATCTCCGGCAAAGTGCACCTGCCCAGCTCCTGCAGAAATACTGGAGCACAACTCTGTTTCCCGGGTCTTGTTAAAACCCACAAGCGCCGTAGCGAAGGCTCCCCCCGCGAACGCATCCTCGTTCCAACTGATAAACTTTACCTCCAACGGCTTCATTGCAATGTCAGCCTTCTCGGGATACATTGATGCCAGAGCAGAACCTACTTCGGCGGCCAATTCATCAGCGGACATTTTTGAACAAATCTCAGCCCAGTAGCCAGACACAGCTGTCCATAAAACACCTCCAGCTTCGAAACCCGACATAAAATTACTAAGATTCTGCCAATATGAAAACTTTCGTGCAGGATGCGAGTCAATGAAGCCGCATTTCTCACTGACCGGTTGTAGATCGTCGATTCGCAGAATCACATCTACTGGATCCCAGAAACACTCCTGGTAAGCCACAAGCACACGAGAGTAATTTGAAAGCTTCACCAAGCGAAGAGCTTCCTGCTTCTGAGTCGGCAATGGTGGATCGAAGGAGATGTGCGCATCGATGTTGGTGCTCAGTGGCGAGTTTAGGGGGAACAAGAGAGTTGGTGGCACCGTCACTAGAACATGCTTTGCTCTCCATTGCATTCGAACACCATTTGCTCGACCATGCACCTCAATCAAGTCGTCGGGAGACGTACCACGCCATATAACTGTGTCGACTATTGTCGAAAGACTTAATTTATTGGTGTCATTGAAGAGGTCAGCCTTTTTAGCTAGGTGCTCAATAACGCATTGATAGCCATCACCGTGAGACAGAACGTACTCAGTGTCCTCTTCATCTTCAAAGATACAGCAGACCTTTCCAGAGTACGCAGATGCGTAATGAGAGGCAAGTCCGTTGTAAAGGTCGTTACGCAAGACGTCGAATGTTCGCTCTAAGTGCGAAACCGGATTCCAGCCACACGCAGTCATAGCCGCCGTTTCCGATTGGTCAGTGGGAGGAATACTTAGAGTGGACAACTTATGCAGGGCTTCGTGGTGTTTAGCAGCAACAGCAGCAAACTGATAAGCAACGTTTTCACCAGAAGAGGCAAGTCGGGCGGCAAAGGAACGCTTTCCGAATCCAGAGTAGTCAGGTGGATGAACCGGTAACTTCAAGTGTTTCACTAACCGGGAAATTGGATTATTGATGTCCCCATGGACGTACATAGGGCCGGTGGAGAGCTCAACGCCCCGAAATACGGTAGTGGCGACACGACCACCAATTCTGTCTCTTGCATCAAGAACCAGAATGTCACTAACATTTGCCTGCTTCAGTCGCATGGCCGCGGTAAGGCCAGCAACGCCGGCACCAATTATGAGCACATCGACGCTGCGCTCCATTGCCAGAAATCTAAATGAGGAAAAGACAAATTGCATCAGTAATTTTAGAGGTATATTTGGCATCGCATTATGAATTGTAGTTAGCGGTAATAATGACAAACGAACAACAGTCAGGTCATCATACAGGCCTCCGTGAAAGGCCTGGACGAATTCCCAAAACTTGACCTAGCACTAAGGATAGTAGTAAATAACTCGTGAGAGGTACTCAACTAATAAGTCAGTCTACTTTCTAATAGAGATGATAGAAACAGAGACAGACACGAACCGCCGACGGCTCCAAATTGCTTCGGGTTGTCCAACTACCTGGGTTTCCTTGGTGCCCTCACCGGCTGTGCGATTATTCGACCCCTTTTAATTCTGTCACCAATATAGTCAGAGATACGTTTATTGAAATTGTAGAGCGAATTTCTCAGGCGTCGTGTGAGTCAAAACAGCAGCCAAAATCATGGTCTCTTTCAAGGCGACCTCGTTATTCACATCCATCCCCTGAAGTTGACGCAAGTCGCGTTCAAGAAAGTTGGGGGTGCATAGGATGAATTCAAGCTCACTGTAGCAACTGGAAAGCAAAATAGCACGCGCGGCCCGATAGCTCCATGGCAGTTTGTGCGGAATGGCTATCCGAGGAGTTAATAAGTTGATACCTGCGTGTTCGCCTCCGGAGGACCCAGACAGAAACACCACCGCACATATGGTTTGCTCTGCGTACAGTAAGAGCGTTACAGAGGCGAGCGACCTCATTGTTGCGGGACTGGGTGTAGGAGTTCCGCACCGGCCCAAAGATACTACTAACATCAGAGTCAAGAAAATAAAGGACTAATTAGACCTCAGGCAGCGGTCTGTTGTGGTTTAGTGCACCCCGTGCCTAAGCTGTCCGTGTAATTACACAGGTCGGACCGAGCGCATGCTTAAATCGCGTATACACGAGTATAAACTGGCGGTGGGACGGTGTTGTGAATTATCGCAAATGGCTGCCCGCAAATTCCAAACGAATCACGAGTTCAACTTCGCAGCTGCCATGATCACCGTTCATGCGGAAACAAGAAAAATCGAGAGTTGGTTGAAACCTGGGCCTCTAATGAGAATATAGTCGATGGCTTGATCTGGCGCCGGCATACTGAGCACTGCGCAGACCTTTGGCACAAGTGGTTGATTGGACAATAACCCCCTATAACTGTCACCTTTTCTGCTGGTGATGGTAACAGTGGTAGTAGCAGTAGTAGTGGTGGTGGTGGTGGTGGTAGTAGTAGTAGTAGTAGTAGTAGTAGTAGTAGTAGTAGTATTAGTAGTAGTAGTAGTAGTAATAGTAATAGTAATGTCAGCCCGAAGGCAGACTCCCGCGCCAGATCGAAGGCTAAACGTGAAGTTTTGAGGTCAACAGTCCGAGTCCATCTCAGAATGCAAGTTGCATGGCTGCGCGAGTTTCGCACTTTTATAGTACGGGGTGGAAAAGAATTGCTATTTAGTACAGACCCTTGCTACCTCAAATAAGTACATTATGAAGTCAAGCATTCGTCAATAGGTAAAGGTCACCGTGAGTTCAGGCCCCGTGCACAAAGCAATCAAAACGAATCTGTTCAGGCTTGCAGGGAGTCAGATTGACGAAAACTATATACCATGCAAAGATCGGGTGCATAAAACGTTGAATGGCATTCAAAGATTAATGTCTTCATTGTCTACCTCGGTAGAGGAAGAAGTGAAGAGTAGTATTGACGGCTGGTGCCTGATAACAGTCGTACAGGGCGGAATTTTGTGCAACTGCTTCTGCATGACGAAGTCAACAGCAACTGGTGGTATAGTGGTGGCCGTAGTAATGGTGCTGCAGGAGGCCCTGATGGTGGTCAAATCTGACCAATCAGGACACTTTCAGCAGCATCCCAAAAGCCGATACTGGCGCTAACTTTCACAACGATAGGGCTATCCCGATGGTGACAAGAGATCCGAAAGGCCAATGCAAATGATTCTGAATTACTAATTAGTGAAGCCGACTAGAAGTTGTTTTCTCAATGGGTTTATAGCACCAAACTGAATGATACTTCCCGCAACCTAAAAAGCGAACAGTTGGGAATGCTAAATTGTTGCATTCGAAGTTCTAACGCTAAGGGGTGCCTTGTTATTTTTCAATTTCAATCACCTTGAAATCAACTGGAGTGCAAGTTAGTTTTTTAGAAAAGCGACCAGACGGCAACATTTCTTCTTATAGAAAAAGGCAAAATGCGTGCCGTCTTGTAAAATCGCAAACTTGACGGTTCACACTGTCGAAGAACTACTAAATAGTCACAAACAAAGTTGAATCCTGGAAAATCACAGAACGATTTGGATTACTAAATGTGCTTCGGTTTCCATAAGGCGTATTGTGATATCCCAAATGGACGTAAAGTGTTGGAATTGGGAGGGAAATATTACCGAAAAAGGACATGTGGAACTGCGGCTCATTCGCTGTCGTGAGAAGCCCGGCCCCAATCAAAACCCAGTCGATTCAGCACTTTTATAGGAAAAACCTCGTATTAATTGTTGTCTTAATTTGCCACTGTCGCGATAACAGGGGTTAGACGGAAGCTCTGGAAGAGAGTGCCCCAGTGAGGTGGTCTAACATCACTACTCAATTCCTGATAACATATAAAATTGGAAAAAAATTATAACAAAATTCTAAAAAGTTGCTTTTTTCAATCGAAATTGCGCAGTGTTTATCTGACCTGCGAGGAGGCGAACTCCTGGCAGTTGCGTCATACAGCAGAAGAGAATCGGCAAAATACGGGGCTGTTTTAAGTACACAGTGGAACTAACTCACTCACAAACCTTTTCTACATATCTTCCACTCAGGATCAGTAGACTCTAGTTTTCGAAAAAAACCACCTGCGATGAAAGGTACTATGAGGGTGAGGGAGTCCTCTGCCAAGACTGCCCAGCACTACGCCCTCCTAAGAGTCGAGAAAGTGCGAAGTTGATGGGGAATGAGATCACTGGTGTAGACTCTCATGCCAGAAGTTCAGTACACCACATGGGATACATTCACCCGTCAGGATGTCTCAACTATAAGCCATCATCCGTGAAAGCAGACGGCAACGCTCCAAGACCATCTATTTACTTAATTCGGAAATCTTTAAGTAGATATCAAATCTCATGAGCGCTGGAACGAAAATTTACTGGCACCCGGAAAGTCAAATAAAAATAATATGGAACGCCCAACGAGACTTCAAGGCGAGCGACGCTTAAATGGCGGTATCTAACGCATTTGCGATAGGAACCCGCCGAACCGGCTTGAAATCGCCGGGACAGAAGGTACATTTTATGAAAGAGGACTGAAAAGAGCTGCTTGACTCTTCAGAAGAAAGGCAAAATGCATATCATCTATTCAAATAGTAGACTTGTGGTTCCGCTACTGCATATTGCTACGACAAAGAAGGCTGCAACCTCGGATAAGAGAGCGATTTGGCCTACCAAATGTTTCCTTTTAATTAAACGAAAATGCATATGAAAAGCGCAACCGAGGCTGCACGTAATGACTGACATAAAATATGCGACCAGGCTAATTATTAAGTGTTAGGATACTCGCTTTTGGTTGAGCAAAATTTCACTTCACAAGTCACCACTTTAGCAGCATGTATTCTTTCATCGACTTTCGAATTTATGAGTTGAATCCTACTTCCCACAAAGCACACATCGAGACCTTACTGCATCTGCTATTTTGTGGGAACTTCCACTATAAGAACTGTGCCTGAAGGACGTAAGGAGTTAGATTTTGGGGCGTTTCCCGACGTTAAATGCTTATTCGGCTAGCTCAATATCGGGACATAGTGCGACGAAACATCCCAAGTGTAGTGGATATGGAAGCCTATCAGGCATGGTAACCGGGGCCCATATGGCTAACGATGCACATCAGGCCCTATGTACTTTATGTAATAGCTAACGTACTTTGTGAATTTTCATCACCGGCAAGTCGAAAACTTAAGTAGGAATCGACAGTTTCCGGCACTAGGCGATTTCCTTTGATAATAGCTATATTAGGCAAAGAATGTGTATAAGTACAGAGTGTCCTTTATAGGCTTTATAGGCTATCCGAAAATGGATACATTTGAGCCGAAATCCATCACCTCCAGTGGAATAACCACGTAATATTCATAAACTGCTAACCGGCTGCCAGTAGCATGCATTCGTTTTATAACTTTACCAAACCGACAACTTAGATACCAGTTAGAAGCCCAGACAAGTATATTGTTGACGTCCTATCAATGCATGACACAGCTGCAAAGTGTCCGGCTCATCATTCCGACTGATTTGCTCCAAATCAGTGCATTAATTACGGGGAAAATTCCTGTCGTTGGTGTATTCGAGAATGCAATTTACTGCAAACGGATAGTAAAAATGACGTTTTTTTCCCTTTACCCAGAAAATATGAGTACATGTGTGCAAGAGTCAGAACTCAACGGAAAAAGACATACTACTGAGGAAGTGATTTCTCAACAGTTTAGAGTCACGGAAATAGGTGAAAATACGATAACTCGGAAGCCAGCGTCGTAAGGTGCATGAATGAATTTCTAAGTACTTCAAGCGTAAATCAGTGCAGCAGCCTCGTCCAAGTAAGTGTTTGCATCTAAAAACACTCAGAAAGTTCAGTCGGCGGCCACAGTTGACGATGGCAACGAAATTCACAAAAAACCGATATAACAACCCAGGGGTAGTGTTTAAAGCATTAGACACAGTTAGCCACATTACGGTGCACCATCCCCTGTTGACGGGACAAGAGACGGCTGAGTTACGACTAGTAGAATGAATGGCCACACCAGCCCATTCCATAAAACATAAGCTGAAGGCAGGAATGGAAACATTAACCCCATTGGCGTAAAAATGCTGCAATAACTTTGACCGGCGAAACTTTGCTCCAAGGAACAAAGAACAGCGAGACTCTGGAAGCGTACATATTAAGTCAGTGTTTAGCGGAAAGGCCAGACTCAAGATCTTAATATTTCCAACACCTAACGCTCAACTATCACAGCACCGGACTCGTTTATGTCTAAAGGAATAGTCGCCCGACGTAGCTCCCAAGGCGGCCTGTGCCGTTGTGCTAGACCCTAGAGGGAAAGTGAAAATATATCACAGACGCTAAGGGGTCCTTTGTGTCAAGCCAGCCACTGAGAGTGACCACGTCCCCAGTCAATCCAACTGACCCTGCGGATGGGCTTAGCAGACCTATGCAGCATTTAATTCTCTCGTGGTCTATCGTTAATGTCGAAATCGCAATATTCCAGCGTCCAACGTTTAACCACCAGAGCTGCGGCCTTGTTAACGTCCACGGGAATATTCCCGCGACGTAGTTCCCAAGGCGACCTGTGGAGGAAATTAGGGGTCTCTTGTGGCAGGCCAAGCATTGTGAGTGATCACGCCTCCGATCAACGCGACTCGGACTTGCCATTGGTAGTTGTTGGGACGAGGACTTGACCCTACAGATAGTCTGAAAGGACCAATGCAGTGAAATCCTCCCGCTATAATAATCTTTCAAACTATTTGGAAGCGCTGAGTCATAGCCTAGAAAGTTCTACGGAGACGAGTAGCTCGGGCTTAAGTTGGGACGAGAGCCACATAATAATGACTTCTTCCAGATGTGGAATTTGTGACACAACAGTCACACATTTGAGATTTAAGGCATGAAAAAACGATTCGGGTATGTACAGATAAGTGCGTGTATGGCTTGACCCTAAAACGCGTCACACGGTAGATGCTCTGGACGCCCAGTTGCAGGCCCACGCCGCGCCAGCTGGGACCGAAGGTGCCCCTTCTTTCGTGTATAAAATCCTGGTCAGTATAAATTGTCGACAAGGGGGTGTGGTGGTACATCTAGGTGAGGTTTTCGCCATGCCAGCCACCAGCACCCTCTCTGCCACCGGGCTTCTTGATTCTGTCAAGACACTTGACTCAGGTGGGGGAGGAGGAGGAGGAGGAGAAAGTGTGATAGACGCAGCGGAAGTCTACTATCCCTGCAACCGGCTTTACTGGTAAGTCACCAATCCCTGCCCCCACCCTGTTGTGGAGCACACGGCGGGCATAGGAACGACGGTTGAACTGTCATTTGAATGGCACGCCCAGATGTGGGGTGCGCCACGTCACTTCCTGCACCCACACTTACCTTTCCTCATATCTTTACATTAGAGAGTGTTGGAGTCGGGAAGAGGGTGATGCTTCACAAGTCCCTGTCGCTAGAAAACAAGCAACTCCCGCACTACGTCCTTGGAACAGTGGTGGTCCTCATCGATGACGATGGATGAACTACCATTCCTCGCAACCCATTTCACAGACGACCGTGTCACGTACCTTAGTCCTGCGACACAGATCGTCGCAGTGAGCGGGAACATAGATCCTCGAGGCTTTCAATTTGCAATGACCAGCCATGGACTGGAGACAGTCTTCTTTTGCTAGCGCTAAAAATAGTCATTTTGAGTAGCATTGCATATGGACAGCCTTAACGACATCTATTATGGACCGTGAAATCATGGAGAAAATGGGCCCTGGCGGAAGAACTCGTAAAATAAGGACAATATTAGACAAAAGAAGGGGCGATGAGGGTGCTAAATGTGAAATAAAATTAAATCAGGGCATTGGATGGTTGGGACGGGTGTGGTGAAGGAAATAACTTAAAACAGCTGTTAGACAACTTTATTTACACAAAATGTAGGTAGGCAAAAGAGATTAGGAAACCGGCGATGATGAAACACTGGACGTGAGGTCTGTGAGGGCAGTTTTAAGACGAAGACTGGCTTCCCGAGGCGACAGGAGAAGAATTAGTTCGACCACTGGCATACCGGTCTGAAAGAGTGAAAACCATAACTAAGGGCGGTCCTCTTAGCCGCTAAATATCGGAGGGGTGTCGCACGAAGTGCATCAAGCGCCTCCATGGCTGGAGAAAGGTGGCTTCATGTGAACATAGCTAGAAATTAGCCCAGGATGATAAGACAACGTGGATTTTACGTTCTCTCTCTCGCTCTGCGTTCTTGACGGGTATAAGCATAAGTCCACAGGGACTCTGATCCACAACAAAAGTCCGCTGTGAGATGCGGACCCAGAAACTAATTCCGAATTTTTTGCTCGTTTGAGGTATCGGCAACTACGCATCGAAACAAAGAAAAAGATAGGAATGGTTCGCAAAGCTCTAGTTCGTAGATGCAAGACTTGAACATGTCCTACGTAATAACCAATCTTGAAGTTCTTTAAGTGATTTCTTGAAGGAAATGGTAGACTAAAGGGCCTGCGCAAACCCAACGAAGGAATATGGCACCTTGCAAATTGAGGAAAGACAAAAATCCTGGCCAGTGGGTACCTCACAAAGTAAAGGGACACCAGATGAGGATGAAAGTACGTTTTCGCTTTGACACGAATTTTTAGGCCAGAAAACGAATTTTGTGCTACAACAGAGAAAACTGAGGGCCGTGGCGTGAGGGAGGCGCACCTCCTAGAGCCATATCGAAGCCTGACAATCATCAGACAAAAGTCACCGTTTGATCAATCCCCTACACCTTCTCAGAATCTGGTAGTGTGATTACAGTACGGTCGTGTAGTGGCGGACTAGAAGTGGTTAACAAGAAACTGAGCATAGGAACCAAGGATGGTTAACAGAAAACGTCTCCTCCATCAGCAGGACAATGCCAGACAACACGTTACAGAATGGAGAGGTCGCCGATGCCATACTAAAGCTACGCAACAACAAGGCACTCGGAGAGGACGGTATACCCGCTGAAATCTGCAGGTCTTTTGTCGACACTTTGGCGTCCTGGCTCCAGAAGTGATTGAACAGGCGTGGAAAAACGAGGTTGCTCCAGAGGACTGTGGCTTAGGCACCCTTGTATCTATCCTCAAGAAGGGAGATAAGACAGGATGCGATAACTACCGCGGCATAAGCCTAATTGACGTTGCTGTGAGGAACTTCACTGTTGTCCTATTTAAGCGATCCCAGGCTGTGCGTGACACTAGGACGAGGCCCAACCAAGCCGGATTTCGTACTGAACGTGGATGCGCGGACCAGGTGCTCACGCTAAGGCGCATTCTCGAATTTTGTCATAACTATCAACAACCGGCGGCCGTCTGCTTTGTTGACTTTGCCGTCGCGTTTGATTCCGTCCATCGTGAGTTCCTATGGAAGATAATGGCACCAGATGGTGTACCGCCAAAAATCATGGCCATGATCAAGGCCTATAACCGCCCCACAGCCGCGCGAGTCCTGGTCCGCAACAATCCTTCCCAACCCTTGGTATTCGATCTGGCGTTCGACAGGATTGTATCTTGTCGCCCATTCTGTCCAACTAGGTTATTGACTGAATTCTCGGGAGAGTCGTACACGAAGGTGACGATGGTGAGTTTGCACTCGGATCCCGATTAACCTCGACTATGCCGATGATATTGTCTTGCACGCTTCAAGTTTTGATTATCTCCAGTATGCGGTGTCAAGGGTGAACGAGGTCGCTAAATCAGTCGGTTTATCCATAAACGCTGGGAAGACTAATGTGTTTTCAAGCTACATCCCTGACCAGGAGATGGCAGCTCACGGGATTGATGGCTACCAACTTAAAGAAGTGCTGTTTTAAATACCTCGGGGCGAGGCTGCTGCCGAATGGGCAGAGTAAGGACGACATTGTCTCCCGAATTGCTGCTGCCCGACGGGTTTTCTCAAGCCTTAGAAAATGTCTATGGATCCGACGCGACACCTCCATCGCCACTAAGATTCACGTGTACCGTGCATCTGTTCGGTCTGTCCTGCCCTATGGTTGTGAATGCTGGGCTGTGTGCGTGGAGGACGAGCGAAAACTGGAGGTATTTGACCACCACTGCTTGAGGACCATTCTTCGAGTGGAGTACACCGACTTCGTCTCAAATGAGACAGTCTGCGCTCGTTGCGACAACGTCGCAAGGATAACCCAGGCCATCCAAGAAAGGCGACTGAGGTGATTTGGGCATGTTCTTCGTCGTCCACCTCAGGTACTCAGTGTAACTGCCCTCGATCCGCACCACCACCCCATTGGAGGCGTCGAGGAGGGGGTCAACTCAAAACCTGGCTCGACACAGTTCGTCAAGGCATGGAAGTGGTTCTTGGATCTTCGGTCTCCGTCGTTGGCGAAGAGAATGGGTTGAACTGTCTAAATCTGCTGCCGCGGATAGTCGGGCGTGGAGAGGTACTGTTCGGGACATCATCGAGGCCGGCTATATCAGTCAAGATCGCAGCCGTACCAAGTACAAGCAAGTACAAGTGCATGAAAGGTAGTCGTTCCGTAGAGGATTAATGGGCTTAGGTAAATAAACGGTGCTTACACAATTTTTGTCGTTATGCGATTCCAAGTCTGTGGTTTGACTACTTACAGTTCCCACCCGTAGAACCTTTTCTTCTATCAAACCTTCATGACTGATGACCTGTCAGTCAACTTGATGGGCATATTGCTGTAAGTCGATCCAACCGGGAAAGGTGACTTCAACAAAGCAACTACGACCTGCGCAAGCATTAGGACAAAGAAATTGATCCCTATTGCAGTAACACATTCTATAACAAGCAAGCACTACATTCCAGGTCGCGCGGTTCGAGCCCACTACAGCATCGAAGTTAGCCATGGCATACTTAGAAGGGCGAAATCCATTGAACCCCTTAGACTACTTTTAAAAAGAGAAGCAACTCGTTAGATTTGTAGAATTTCAGAATGGAAATCAAATTCATGTGTGTATGGCAAAGGATAAGTCAGATCATCTAGGGAACTCAAATCTGTGGAAACACGATTCGTTGAAGGGTAGAAGGAAATTGATCATCTTGAACGCTTAAGGTGGATGCTCCTTCTAGACAGAATTACCACTGTAAATAGTCGAACATTAACACAGGTCGGACAAAGAGACAAAAGAACTTTATGAAAAAAAGCATTCCCAAGGAAACTTTCAGGCTAAATTGCATACATCTTATGCGGCATGAAGTGGTTAGAAGAGCGATAGGCAAGTCAAAGAGCTTATGGTCCAACAAAAAGCAACCTACTTCAGAGCCCGTCAGGCAGGCCCTCAAGGCTTTCATGGTTAACTTCTTCGGTAGAACTCCCCAGTCAAATGTACCATCAAGCAAAGCAGCCAAGTCACCCTCCTTGACGTTATCGTGGCCTTTCATGGCATCCAGGGTAGCCGCGAGTGCAAGTACTGATTGCGTAAAGGTGGACCAGCTCTCGGTGTGACATCTTTGGGCATGGAGGGAGGGACTGGCAGCGAGGATGCAGTCGGCGGTTGGCCTTAGCCAGAGGAACCTGAATTCCCCACTGAGATCAGACAGACAGGAGACGCGGCCTCGCAAACGCCAGAGCATTTGTGCCAGCCACTTGTCATCCCCCAGAAGAGGACAGCTGCGAAAAATGGCGGACAGGAGGCATTAAGAAAAAACGGAGGATAGCTAACTTCACACTGGACCTATGGCTGCAGTTCTGGTGCCTTAGTGATATTCTGTCTATCGCTGCTGCCAGCGCGTTGGTAAATTGCGCGTGAAGAGGCCAACAGTGAGGTAGGCCTTCGTCACACCTGCTCACTCGGACCCTCCGCATCTGCCATGCTTAAGTAGAAAGACAGAGTCAAAACGGCATTAGATGGCGCGGGTACAGTGGCCAGCAAGGCTGAATCCAGGGCTATGCATATCGCAACTGTGCTGGTCCCTAGTTTCTCACAGACCGATCTTCAATGAGGGAGCCTCGGGTAAAACAGAGGTGGCAGCGCCATAATGACTACATTTAGAAAACACCACTGCTGCCTGAGCCTCAGTCCAGAGGAAAGCCGAGTTATCCCCTGCCAGTTGGTAACCTCAAAATAACGACTATGGTTATTTATTGCCAGTAAACCAGGTGCTGGATCCTAGCCAGAATGATCGCACTCTCACAGTAGTAGGCCTAAAGCAGGCCAACTAGGGGAAGATAGTGAGTAATCCACTATTGACAAGCAGTTTTGGCGCCCGTCTAGACTCAAATGATACCCTCACGGCAATTCAAATATCTCACAAACCTGTCAGGAAGGCAAGGTAACCAAAATGACAAAAAGGAGTCCTCGTGCGTAAACCCAATTGAAAGACTGAAACTTACATGGACGTCTTAGGTGATATAGCGAGTGCCGAGCTGAGGAAGGAGCGCACTTGGTGACAGATGTTCACCTCGCTTTCAGGTTGCTGAGACTCCTCCTCCTCCCCAGAATTTAGTAGGGCTTTTTCCACAAAACGGTCAAAGTGTGCTCTCCCGCACTGTTGTAGGAGAGGAAGACTGACACGGGCGTGATGGCGTGCAAGAGAGGACAGTTCAAACTGTAGATTGATAAGAATGAAAAATTCAAAGTACGTTACTTCGGTGCCAGTACACGGAGGGTGAAAAATGCAGACTGCAAAACACAATAATCATCGACAGAGAAATCACATAAGCGGAAAGGCTTTTGCAGAATATACATGGGGGGAGATGCTGTAAAGCATGATAGGCCAGCGCAGAGGCATCACAAAGAAGAGCGGCGATAAGTCACAGCTTGACTAAAAACAGCGGTTAGTTCGGTTAGCAGTGGAATAGACAAAAACAGTCGAGAAAGAGAGCCAACTGTACCATATCACACGCAGAACTAAGTAATAGACACAATACACATTCTAGAGGTCAAAAAGTCGAAGGGACTTACAAATGGGAGCAACTCTTCAATGAGCCTTCCGGGCTCCCATTGAGTGTGACTGTGTAAAGTCTGCTGGGAAACGGTATTCGCACTGGGGAAATCGGATTCGGACGGTGGGGCAAAGAGGCCTCCTGTGGCTGAGATCCAAGTAAGAATGGCGGATGGCAGGTAGCCAGCCTGTCGTAGATTAGAAACAAGACTCACGTCTAGCGGATCAGACAGGCGTTTAGAAAACTTCTTCCCGGAGCTGAAATGTGTTAAGTTGAAAAGAAATGTTGCCAATGGATTGCAGACTTGTGCCACTCGACGCATACAAATAATTTTGCTCCATTATCTGGGGAAAAACACTGATACCTACATAAAGGCCCTAAACCAAAAGGCTGGTCGAGGAGTTCCAGTGCCTTCAAACAGTTTAGCCTGGAAAGAGAAGAACATTCGGACGAAAGCCATGATAACTAAACCTATACTCATTTTGCTTTTCGCAGCTCTACACAGAAACGCGGAACGATTTTTAGTAGCTCGATTTCACAAAAGAAATGTAATGTTTCGGCCGGGACTTCAGCAGGCAGTAATCACTCGAAGCATTTAAATATGCTTGGCTTGAATACGATGGGAAGCTCCGTCCAGCGCGAGCAGGCGAAGATCCCAGACAGATCTGGCTGACTTCCAGCCAGCACGTACACTGAGGGCGCCCTTGGTGTAATAACTCCGGTTTGTTGGGGCATCGTTAAATTTCGCCGGGTTAAGTAAAATACTCGGTGCATGCAAATTGATGTTAAACGAGTTCAGTTCAGTTAAGTTTTATTAAGGTAAATACAGGCGAGCGCCATTGAAATCCATATTGGTTAAAAATCGTTTGAAATGGGCACTGATAAGTGGAAAGTTGAAAAAGATATTTTGTGCATAATTGCATGTGAAAGGCAGGCAGTTTCCAGCTATTCGAAAAATAGTGATCACTAACGGCTACTCGCTCATTGTAAGTAGTATAAACATATGCAAGTTGGGTGGCGGGTTATGTGACTGAGTGTGTGGCTTGCAATCGGTAAGCTTGATACGCGTCGAGTCTACACTTAAATGAGTCCACAGAAGAGAGTACAACATCAGTAGGCAGGGCATTCCACGTTGCAACCACTCTGTTACTGAAAAAGAACTTTCGTCCATTGATCCTTGCTTTATCTGTGCGTAGTTTTAGGGGATGACCGCGCAAAGTAGGAGTGTTAGCTTGAGCGAAGTAATCACTGGGATCTAAACAACAGCCTAGGCCGTTTATAATGCGGAATGTAAGTATAAGGTCACCGCGTAGTTGCCTGTAGGAAGGGGGAAACAGGTTGGGAGTCGCCAGCCTGGTCTCGTAGGGCAGTGCTTTCAGACCTTTCGTAAATTTTGTCGCCCATCTCTGTACCTTCTCTAAGAGTGTATAGTCCTTGAAAGTCCAAAATCTCAATGCCTGTGTGGGGCATTCTAGATGAGGCCGCACGAAGGTGCCAAATATGTTGGAAAAGCTGTCAGTGTCAAATCCCATAAAGGCTCGCCTAATGAGTTGCAATGTAGCCATAGCCGACTTAGCCGCATTCGCGCAGTGCAGTGTTGGTTTGAGTGAAGACGTAATCCACACACCCAAGTCCTTCTGACTGTCAACTTGCCGCAGTGGTGCACCGTGAAAAAAGTTGTTGACATAAGTTTAAAAGAACGAATTTCACGCTGAGGCACAGTGAAAACATTCTCAGCAGAAATCAGACTGAATGGAAGACGCGGGTTTGTGGCGGAAAAACACAAAAACAACTCTGAGGCATCAAACGTACTTTAACAAGAAGCAAAGGAAGGGAGGTGAACGAAATACCTTGAAAGCATCAGTGGCAGGTGTGCAAAAGTCGGTGGGCTCCAACCGAAAGCTTTGTAAATTTGCAGATGCTTAGGCACGGAAGTGATCCATTCCTTTGGAAACAGACAATAACAAATTGAAAACGCAATTGTCGGAGGCAACTATAGGATACCGAGATTTTGGCAATAATGATAGACAAACTAGCTGAGTTGGCTGTCTCTTTCACCCAAAGCTAAATTCCGTAGGTCGCCAAAGCCTAAGCTTAACAAGTCGATACTGTTCTGGTGCAAATTAGTTAGTTAAAACCAAACAAAATATTCTCGGGTATTCAGTAGCCAGGAATCTCATAGGTAGCATTTTGGGTGAGGAAACGTAGAAAGTGATACAAGACGAAAGGTAAACTTACGGAACCACGTATCACATGAGTGATGCCCATCAGGTGATCGTCGATAACATTGGCAAAATGGTAGACGGGCATTCCATCCGATTTTATGATGACCTAGTAGGTAAAACAGGATGGGTATGAATGGAAATGCAGGGGACGCTGATGCTGCCAAAATCTAGGGTTGGAACTTAAACCCTAACTATTAGCATTAATGTACTGTAGGTGATAGACAAGAGGCAACCGACGTGGACTTTTAGGCTTACATGGTATTCCCGGACATAAACCGATCGCAAATTCTGTTAGATGGCTAACAGAAAATGATGTTCCCCACCTTTAGAGGATATAAGAGAACTGGAACACACACGGTTTTCATGGAAGGAATTTAAAGTGACTGAAATTGGACTGACAATTATTAAATGAAATTATGCGCTCGTCGACTACACTGGAAGCAGCAGCCCAAGAAAAGACGACAAAACCACTAAACACCATTACAGACGCAGGAATATCTCCTGTATGAGCTTGCAGTGACAGTCTGCCCGTCGCAAGCGAATACGTCCACTTCGTGCTCCATAGAGTGGACACAGAACCGGTGACTTGCATGTGAATGATTATATGGTGAGGCAGACTTTCACAGCATCTATTGCACTCGCTTCCCTAACCCACCTTGCAGCAGTGGCAAGGAAACACCAGGACTACCGGAGGTGGGTGCGGACGTGGTGGACGGCAAGGCCAAACGGTCCGTTTATGCGTGTCAAACACTACCTGATCCCCACTGGATGAGCCAGGCCACTGTAGGGATGGTTCAGATCTCAAACAGGTGATAATGCCATAAATACCACATTGAGAGGGACCAAGTGGAGCCCGACTCTCGGTCCTCTAGTCGCTCCACTATAATCTGAGCGGGGACAGGGTTACGGTGTCAGTTGGAGGTCTTCCAAAACACGACTCTTAACGCGTCGGACTTGTTATAGTGTAGAATGGGTTAATTTGTCGTGGAGACGGAGTTCCCAACCTCTCTCTCATGCAGCGGCCAAATGTCTGAGCACAACGACTAACCGGCCGTGTGAATGGGTGTAGTAGCTGGCAAGGCTAAAACAGTCAGTATGGCCATACCGCACACCATCTGGTCATTTGATCAGGCCACTTTAAGGACGGCTCGGATCTCGCAGCACAGACTCACACACGAAGCGGAATACAAATGAGGTCTCGGGAATCTGAATTAAAGTTGCCATAAAGGCCTCATTAAGGAGATATTAGTTCAACCATCAGAACGAAAAAAACTGGGTAGCCCAACCAATCGGCAATCTTTCAAGCCAAGAAGGTGGGCGCGCACTGATAGTTTAAAGTGGTCGGATTATTTGTAGCGCTGAAAGTAAGCTCTGGATTCGTGCAATATTTGTTCTATTTGTTCTGCCCTGTGCCACTGTCAAAGCAGAGTCAGACAGACCGCAGATGCAACGGTTAACGAAGCATGGTAACCAGTCTTGCTCAAACCTGTAGCTGCCAGCGTAAATCCTGAGGCGCAAACCTAGTTAACTACGATTCAGTGAGGCTCCTTCTGATTGCACAAAGGGAAATTTCAATGAGGAGCGTGTTCTTAGAACGAAAGTTCTGACAAGTTAACAATCGCTCCTAATTTCTCATGGTATTGGAAGCCTGGATAAATATTCAATTTTAGAGAACAAAAACAAGCAGGACTACCGCCGGCGTATGTGTCAGGGCTGAATTAAAATATGTGCCATTTTACGAATCTGAATAAGCAAAAAAATTTTGTCTCTCGAAAGGATGTAGAGGATCTAACGGGGGTCTTCCGGAAGCCTGCGTTATTTGTTAAAGGAACAGTTCTAGGTCGAGGAAGCTAATACATGAGAAATCCCAAAACACATGAAATCGAGACATGCGTTCGGAAGAACTATGAGACTCAAGGATGAAGTGAGATGGGCAAAACCGAGCAAAAGGAGCAATTATGACCTTGCCGCCGTCGAAGTCAAAACCTTGGCGAATTTTCCAAGTACATGCACAAGGACATAACTGTAGTTCGGGAATGAATAAGTGAGGCGGTTTTAGGCGGTATTATTCAAATAAATTTGTTCTCCAGGCATGAGTGCTTGTTTGAGTGGGATATTCTTGACTGAGCAGAGTGGCTCGATGACCCCAGAGTTGACATACTGCCAGACTTCGATTGAGCAAGCTATTATTTCCTACATTTCGTACGTTAGTTTCACCAGCGCTGACTAAGCCTTCGCAATGTTTGGTCTACCTTATTAAGTGGGTAAATAGCTCTGAAAAAGCAATTTTCTTACCAAGTCACCTTCGGCGTCTGAACTGGGAAAGTCAACATCGTTAAACACAACATCGTGCAAGGTCGTCGGAACCGGGGAAAGCTACAAAATCAGAATATATTTGTGGGAGAAGCTCCGACCTCATGCGCCGTTGTCACAGTAAGGGAAAAGCACAAAAACAATTGAGTGGGAGAGAGAGAAACCTGTGGAGTGGATCAACGTTCGAGGAAGGGTTATAATCGCTGACTTTGAAAGGCAGAAATTTTGATCAAAAACAATTGCCAGAACTCCCACCAGACACTGTGATATCCTGTCGAAAAAGAGACAGCTGTGAGACGACAGGGAAATTAAGGTCAAGATTTCTAAAATTCCTCAGTAACAAACCCTAGACAGTGCTGACCCATCGGAAAATCCGTATCAGCCAGCGCTTTAATGCATTAGCTGGCACTACACTGAGAGCCCGCCAGGGCAGAAATATGAGGGGTTTGAGCTGGTAGCATATTGGAAAACAGCAATGTTTGGTGGCAATGCCTTTCCCTCGCAAAACGCAGCGAAATTAGTCGTTGTGGGGGTTTGGACGTGTGACTTCGTTCGCATGAGCAAGGGTCAGACCCGAGCACTCCTACAAAGTAAACTTTCGTGCACAAACAGGTTGCGGCTGATGCGAGTGGATCAAAGATTAGAAGTTAAAGCACGCGAGTCCGGCATAAGTGAAATGGGAGAATTGGGATCTGATGGAGTCTGGCACTTCTATAACAGTAGTTACCAGAGTCAACGGATCGGGTAATCGGTAAATATGGCGATGACGTAAAAGGCTGGCACGACGACGGGTACGAGGACAGCCAGGCGTGAGCATGACTGTGCAGCTGGTAAGTTCTGTGAACCTGCGCAGAACGCCGCTTCCTCCTGACCAACACCTGCTCCCGCCTTCAAATGCGGAATACGACAACCTAGATGCACCCCCGATCGCGGAGCTGGCAGATGCCGGATTACATTCTCTTTCGGGGAAAGATCGACAGGACGCACTGGTGACCAAGGCTATCTGTAACGCCGACAGCTGTACGGATCACCGACTCATCGAGATGAGACTTCGACTGTAACCCCACAGGAGACCACAAGGTGAGTGACCACGAGGTAAGTTAAATACTGTTCTCTTCTGTCTACTTTGTCCGTTCACCGCCTACATTTCAGCAATCACTTAGCCCATCACCTGAAAAAGCTGCCGGCTCCGGACGACAATGACACTGTGGAGACTTGGTGGTGTCAACTGCGAAATGTTATCCTATCCACTGCCTTGGACGCCCTCGAACGCGCACTTCGCCAGCATCAGGACTGGTTCGACAACGACGACAACATCCGCAACCTGTTCGCCGAAAAGGACGGGCTGCACAAGACCTACACTGGCTGTCGGACAGACGTAAACAAGGTGACCTTCTTCGGCTATCGCCGCCTTGTGCAGCAACCACTACGGAAGATGCATGAAGCCTGGATGACTCGCAAGGCCAAGGAAACACAGGAGTAGGCCGACCACAAAGAAGCAAAGAACTTCTTCGTATAATTCAGGGCGGTCTACGGTCCCAAAGTCCAAGGGACCGCCCTGCTTCTCAGCTCCAACGGAACAACGGTTCTGATTGAAAGCTCACAAATTATGAAGCGCTGGGTCGAGCACTTCAGAAGCGCCCTTAAACGTCAATTTACGGCCCTCCACGCCGCCATCGGCCGACTCCCTCAAGGGGAAACGGACAACGACCTGGATCTCCTCTCTACCCTCCCAGAACCAAGTAGAACCTTGAAGCAGCTGTACAGTGGGAAAGCGCAGAGATCCGACGCGATCCCGGACGAAGTCTATAGATTGAGACGCCTCTCCACGGTTACTATCCATGACCTGCTCTCAGCAGATGATTGTGCGCTCAGTGCGATAACAGAAGCAGACATGCAAAGAAGCATGAACCGTTTTACCTCCGGCTGCGCCAACTTCGGACTTGTCATTAATATGGACAAAACGGTGGTCATGCATCAACTGTCACCCAGCGCCGCATATAGTTTTCCTCGCATCCACGTCAACGGTACCCAACTAGAGGAAGTGGACAACTTCGCCTACTTACGCAGCACACTCATGCGGCATGAAATCGACGATGAAGTGGGTCACCAGACCTTCAAAGCCTTCGGCCGGTTGCGGAATCCCGTATGAAATCGCCACGGTCTCCAACTCAACACCAAGCTCAAGATTTAACATGCTGTCATCTTGCCGACGCTGCAGTACGGTGCTGTATGAACAGTTTATGCGGAACAGGCGTAGAAGTGCAATTACTTTCATTTCAGTTGTCTCCGACTGATACTAAAGCCGAAATGGCAGGACAGGATCCCAGACACAACGTTTCGGAGCGGACTGGAATCCTCAGCATTCACCCCATGCTGGAACAACTGCAACTAAAACGGAGCGGCTAACTCGTAAGGTGGGCGATTAACGCCTACCAAAACAAATCTTCTATGGAGATATCGCCACGGGTGCCTGGCAACAGGGAGGTTAAACCCGCCGCTACAAGGACACTTTAGAGGACTCCTAGACGCGACTGCAAATCGACCCGAAGACTTGGCAACACGTCACGCATAACTAACCGGTCTGGAGAAAAGGGGTGAAAACTGGGGCAGTAATCTCCGCTGCCAAAGCCAAAAAGGCAACTCGCAAGTCTCAGGCGCCCTTGCCTCGCAACGCCAACATCCCAACCTCTCCGAACATGACAGCGCTCTTAAGAAACATTCCGCGCGCGGGTCGCCCTCGTCGGACATCTCCGGACTCAATGCGTCGGCTGCCCGAGAACCCCAACTGCTGCCTCCTCGACCTATCCTGAAATAGCCCCTAAAGCGTTTACCGTCACCACCGATGCTCAGAATCCCCGTGGCCCGCCGCCGCCGCCGCCGTCGATCACCGATATCATCACTGCCACAACCTCCGCGACGACAACGACGAATACCATCTCGCCAACCCTCACCACCAGTAATAATACTCTCAACGTCCCGTCAATTGTCACCCCAACCACCAACAATGTGTACTCAATCCATCCTGTCCACTTTGAGATTGCATATCTACCTCAGGTTTTCCGAGGTTTCCGAATCTGGTCTATGAAGGATGCTCAATCAGCACCACGGAATGCACACGAACCCAAACTGTGAGTGACCAAGGTACACTTGGAAACCAGTCCTGATGCAATTTGGTCAAAAGCCATGAAAAGAAATATCCAACGCAGTGAGTGAGTAAGTGGTTTTGGGGAAAAGGAAAACGAATGATGCAGTTGGGCAGCGAAATGCACAAAGAAAACCACATACTCTGAAAGGGGACGCAAAAACGTCCGACTTAGAGAAAATCAGCTAACCTTGAAGCGGATAACGTAGGGCACGTTGTCCTGCATCGCTCGCTGAACATCGCCCTCAGAGAGGTGACGGCAGCGGTTATCGTAGCGGATAGTTTCACCGCGCCTTCGCTGCTCTTTTCTGAGCACCTCCAGTCGATTTAGAGAACAAAAGCACCGGTAAGCATGCCCGGACTTGAGAAGACGTTCCGCATAATGTCGATAGATGTCTCTTCGTTCGGACTGCAGGGAAAAAGAAGGAGTAGCGGTGGGTATACCTCATTCCGAATAATTTTTCTTCTAAACTGAAAAGGCGTAATTGTGTACCTGAACATACGGACCACAAGATCCGCCGGTGACAGGGCCTTCATCAGGTTCCAATCCGCTCCAGCTCAAGCATTCGAATATATCCTTCAAGGCAGCATCGGAATATCTAGACTTCAAACATAAGAACAACGTCTATTTACGTGATCAGTGTTTTCAATTCGGAGGATAAATTTACCCCCGGTCTTCCGGGCAAACATAAAATTGACAAGTGCTGTGCGCAGTCCGCCAATATGCATGGATCCAGTAGGGCTCGGAGCGAATCGGACTCGCGTTGAATTCGCCGATAGGTAGCAATTCCTTGAGATTGACTTGGCAACATTGACATAGAAAACGCATTTTTTCGCGACAATCATGTGTCCTAGTCCACTGCTTGTGCATCCACCTGTCCGAAATGGGATAGATAGAGATGCATTTCCAGGCAAGATAAATAACGATACACAAATCGTAGACTTGAGAAATACGATTTTAAACATTTTCAGGAGAGAATAACGAGAGGTAATACAAAATAAAACTCGTTGCTGCAAAGAGCAGTGAAAACAAAGAAAGCATGAGAGGGCCTGGAAACATCAGGATAAGTCCCTCCTATTTGACGCACAGCTAGGGCATCTAACCCCGAAGGATACTAGTTCGATATCAGCTACGAAGTACATGTATCATAAGTGCAAATGCAAGCAGGCTTGCGGCGAATTTAAGCCTCAGACAGTGCTAAGTAACGAACAAGAAGTCGAAAACCAACAAGTCATAGAAGCTGTACGAGTGGCGCCTAAGAGAGAAAAGTGTGATAGTCCTGTGCATAAGGAAGCTAAGATTAGCGTTTCCAATACGTACGATTAACTCGTTCACAATCTTCAACTTTCCTACTACATTGACAAAACTTGCTAATAAGTGGTTGAAAAATATGCAGTTAGTCATATTTCCCTAAAGAGTTGATTGGGCAGTCCTTGGCCCGAAAACCTCAGAGAGTTGGAATGGGCGGTCCTTGGGCCTCGGACCTTAACCAGTGATGCAAATTATTAGCAACTCTTTAAGCGGTGGACACTTCGTTTTCCATATAAGAGAGCATGCCTCCTGGTCAGCTACGAATTTTCGATGTTTTTGTTTGTTCTCTGGGGGTGTCCAAAGTTAATCCGTCAGATCTGCTATTTTAGATGCTTTCGCTCCTATTCAAAATGGCAATGGACTTACGTAAAGACAAGTCGGAAATTGTCTGGTACGGCTAAACCAATTGTGACAAATGTGCCATTTTCAATGATTCCATTTTTTCTTCTCAGCAAATTCCCTATAATTTTAAAATCATGGCCATTCTATTTTGCGGAGAGGGACAGCATTCTCCTCGCGAGGGTTAAAATCAGCGTATCCGTTTCAAAGATTCAGGTCAGAGTATCTCTTCCGGATTTTATACCAACGCACTCCTCCGTTCTTATTGTTCTGATTGTGTAATTAGGTCCAGTCCCCTGAACTTCTCTCATTAAGATTGCAAAGTAAAGAAGGACTATAAACGGCTATGCCGCACTGGGAAGAGTTCCAATCGCAGTGAAATCAAAAACAGTGGTTCCGTTAAGACAAAACTCGCAGAGTTAGAATCAGACATTAAAGCATGTGACGTAGATGAAAATCAAATTTGGGCGAGAAAGAGACATGAGCAAGCGTTTAAAAACTTTAACAAGGCAAATAATTCATTCTATTTCCTAAGCCCGCGGCAAAAATTATAAGCGGAGAGTAAACTGAATGGAAGACTTGGTCAGAAAACCTAAATAAAGGTTATTAAAAGTATGGCTTCATCATGGGAGGTAGTCCCAGCACAACTGCACTGCTTCTTTGAGTAAGAAGACTGCACAAGAAAAAATGTACTTTTTTATTAGTAAGACGAAAATAAAGCCTAGACGACGGTGTAAACGGGCGCTGTGAGGACCGAAAAGTAAAAAACTGATAGGTTTTGGAGGTTAATGACAGCAAAATGAGCACGGAAAAAACCGTGTCTAGGAAGTTTTCTCTTAGAAAATGGGACCGTTGTCGATACTGGGTGTCATCCAAGTGCACGGTGCGTAGCCGGAGCTTTATCCAGCCCCAGTAACTTGCAGTGTGATTTTTGTTCACAGTGTAACGCTTCAAGTTTACATATGGAACTCAAGTATCTGTGTTATTCAGCAAAATCGAGTATGTTATGCGGTCGAACACAACTCCGTATTAGAGGAACAAGACTAGAGGAGACCTTTGAAAAATACCTCTCTCCTGCACAGTGTCGCATATTCCGCATATTCACCCTTGAGGCCGAGGTTTTTAATTGATATATTTCTGTTGATGTTTAACCCCTCAACTGGCCTATACGACCATTGGAAGGCCACGGATGAGACTTAAGGTGTACTAGCACAGCAGAACATCTCGATCTGCATCTCTAAGAATGTCCAAACTATGCATAAAGACCTACAAAAACTACAGAACATGCAGTAACGGAGAAGTCCAACATTAATGATGAAATGGCACGCAACATTTCGCATAACTGCAGATAATTGATGGCGAAAATAGCCTCGGACAGTAATTAGTCAATCCTCCCGAACAAATGATATTTCTGTATTACACTCCAAAACCTTACATTCGCTTCTGCAATAGCAATCTGCCACCGCAGTTGCAAAACCAGTTTTTTCCATAATTAAGCTGAATAAAGTGCAAGTTACTTTTTCTCCGGTCCATCATTTGGTCTCTAACTGGTCTCCTCGAATGCGCAATAACTATTTGGACTAATTTTTAGCAGAGACGAACTTGAAACCTAAAATCATCATAGTTTCAAAGGAAGGAAAGCGCGTATAACGGCGCAAAAGTGTTTGTCAACAAAAAATAGGTGAAATCTAAAAGAATGAGTTTGGGCAGAAAATCGACTGTACCTGTCACATCACCTGTGACATATTCGACGCAAATTAATACGCGTACTGTGACTGGATAATACAGTAAGAGAATATAATCGCAAAAAGACTGACATGACGCGAAACATTAATGTGAGAGAGTAATAATGGGGTTAACCTAAGGTCTTGGATTTCAGTGAACTCAATGAGCAAGACACAAAACGCAGCAGACAGCAAAGGGAACAAATACTTGCGGAAAAGGGTTTCCGCGGTTCACAGGCGAGTTTGGTGGCACGTAGACAGGCGATGAAGAGACGTAGTAGAGCTACTGTCACGTCCCGCAGAGTCGCGAGTGTTATATTTGAATGATTTAACTCCCTCCCGCGCAGATCTGGGATGATAATGATGTAACTGCATACCTATGAAAGTTGCCGGTGTTCCTTCCATCACCATACGGCCAACCACCCTACCGCAACTCATCGTAACGCTCTCCTCACTCTGCGTCAGCACCTGCACCGGTCCTACCCTGCAGATGTCTACAGCGCTGCATTCCCCACCCGTTGTTAAGCAGGCATTTCGGCGTCACCGCATCATTCAGACAGGTTATTCCTCTGATCTAACTCAGTTCTCTTGCACAATTGAACATTATCGTATACTCCTAGTTTCTATCTGTTCCTATCACACCTTTGTGTTAACCTAATTCTTCTTCCCTTTCGCATGGATGAGTATTGTGACGTGTAAACGACTCTATTCAAATCAGGCTTAGCCAGAAGGGTTATTGTGACTACACTTGCAAGCACGGTCCTTGAACTGCTGGCAGTACCAGCAATCGTTCGGGTGGTTGGATGCAGGGGAAAAGAGGGGATCTTCGATCGAGTGTTTGGCGTTGACCCTGGGGGCTGCTGGACACGCAGTAAGTCTCTTGTTGCGGCGGGGCCAACTCGAATATTCTCGCCGTTTGGAAGGCTGTGAGAGGCCAGATACGTAACTCTCGTCTAATGTCCTCTGAACAAAGTCCACCCAGGAACCGCAGCAAGACCTGCTGGGAAACTTGGGACTGTAGGAGAACCCCGCTGCCGAGGTTAAAGACGGCATCTAGTTAGGAATCGGCATTTTCCCGGATTGTTCTGTGAGGAGGCAAAACGGATTATGCAGGGCCATTAGTGGTTCCTAGGGACCGAAAATGCTCTCCAGGGTTTCCCATAGGTCGCTTAAAGCTGTGGAAGGTGGTGTGCACAGGTAAGCAAGCCGCCATTTAACCGTTGGACCCAGGAGGCCCGAGAGATGGTCCATTCGCTGGTTGGGTGGTTAGTGCACTAGATGGCGCTCAGCCTGAACCCGCCAATCCATAGAGCAATAGCCGACCTCATATTTTTTGGGGCCTAAGCGAATCAAAAGCCCTTAGAGATCAGTGCGCGAGCAGGTTTCCTAAAGTGACATTAGGTGGTCGATGCTGAGGGAGCGGTCATTGGAGGCCGATCAGGTGCTAGGCATCATGGAAGGAACGGTCATAAAACGAGGAAGGGCCGATGGAGATGCCGACGCAGTGTGAGAACGTTAAGATGAGTTGTGGGAAAGGGGTCTGCGGCGGAGAGACGAAAGGGACACCGACTATACTCACAGATACGCATTTACACGATCACCATCCAAGATCCGCGCGGGAAGAAGTCCCGTGTATCCAACCACCCGAACGATTGCTGGTACTGCCAGCAGCTCAAAGACCGTGCTTGCAAGTGTGGTCACAAAAACCCTCCTGGCTAAGCCTGATCAGCATAGGGTCGTTAACACGTCAAAATACTCATTCGTGCGAAAGGGAAGAACAATTAAGTGAACACAAAAGTGCATAACCCTCGGCGATAAGATAGCTTGTGTAAAGAGCATACTTCTAGATAGAACAGGACATGTTCTTATAGTATACAGCGAGTCCACGAACATTGCTGATTACTTCCTGTATCCTGTAGAATCATCAACCATACAGGTGTACGCAGCTGATATCTCAAGTACCATTGACTGTGCTCACCTACTCATGACCTTCTCGAAGTACGTTTGTTTTCGTCTAGATAACTCATGCGCTTTAATGAAAATATTAGGCTATTAACAAGCACCCTTTGCCACTATCACTCCCATCCTCCCCGTGGACAGTGTTCGTTGACCCTACAACCACATAGTATTCAGTAAGTGGTTAATGAGCATCAAGAGATGTAGTGGACGTAGTCACAGGTGAAACTACTAACACCTACTTTTCCATGTGGTTGTAGACATCCATGGCTAGTACTTCCGGCGACAAATAAACTGGTCAGCGAAAATCAACTAGACAACACCGGAATCCCTTTGATAAGCCTTACTGGGAACTTGGCGAGCCGCTAATGCTTCCTGTAGTAAGTTTCCTTAAACTCACGTAGGTTTCTGCTTAGGATGAAAGATACTCATATCTAGAGTCAATGGACACGCTACCAGCACTCAGGCCGGCAAACTATAC